AGTTTCAGGGACAGGTCACCACAGCTCACACACAGTTCCTGGCAGTCCCTGCACAGCTGTTGCTTTATACACCTTGTCTGTCTTGAACTGCAAGGCAACACTTCTTTTTCACTGTGTAGGAGAAGGTGAAGCAACCAAAGGGAAAGTATTTGTGGATGCAACAGATAAATGATGGCTAGTGCAATCTGAGGGCGGTGGATCCGATAATTGAATTCCCACAGCCTGAGATTCTCCCATTCAGACTCCAGGGGATGGGATGGCCGGTGGGCAACCCAGATGCAGCGGTGGGCAACCTAGATGCAGCGTTCTTTCTTATCGTATTCTACTTTTAGTAGGCACAAGCTGAGGAAGGTGTATTTTATCAGATCATTTCTCTCTCTCGCGCACACACACTCACGCTCCTGGGGCAATGTTATATGTATATTGAGACAGGCAAGGCTTCCCGTCTGGGAAGATAAACCATTCAAAGTAAAAAAAGAGGAGTCTGGAAATCGAAACTTGTATCTGAGCTGGCAATTGAACCAAGTGCACTTCCAATGCAAATAGAAACTTGTATCTGAACTGGCAATGGAATCAAGTGCACTTCCAGTGCAAATAGGTCCTTTGCACCAGGGAAACCAATCCTGATAACAGCAAGCTTTGTATACACACAACTTGCTTGGGATCCACATAGGTACACATGCAAGAGGAGAAGCTATTTTGTATTTTTAAATGCTAAAACAAGATCAATTAATCAGTACATGCCAACGTGAATAAAAATGTTTCCAGCATGTGCCTAAATGGCCATATAGTCGTCACATGCTTTATTTCTAGGCAGAGAGTATTCCATAGAGTTGGCACTGGGAAATGGTAATTTGAAGTAAAGCTACTAATGTCTACATTGATATTATATGCAAATATCAGCTTTGTTGGATGTTGCCATTTTGTTCTGATCTTTCTTCATACTTTTCGCTGTTTTTTGTGCTGTAGGAAGTTTTCTCCCTAACCGTCTCCTACCCTGAGGATTCTGGTTAGGGTTGCCAACTTCTTTACCAGCTCATGCAGCTGTGCCTTTAATACAGCAGCTTGATCTGCAGACATGAGCCAGTGAGAATGCTTATTTCCACATCTTGAAAAAAAACACCCGCTGATTTATTCAGTTCAAACTCCAGTAAGAACACAGAGCCTGTTTCAAATGTCGAGATCTCTGCTCCATAAATGTCCATTCTACCCATTTCTCTTGCACCTGGCTTGCATAGTCACCTCTCCACCCTTGGTTGTTCTTGACCTTGCTCCTATAGCAGCCTGGCTGGGGACTATGCTTGTTTCCATTCACGAAAAGAACAGGACCAGACTGGATACTGGACGGCTGGTTACCCTAGAAAGCGCACTTAAGTTGGAGCTGAAGTCCTTTGATTACATTTGTAACCCTACAAAGTTGGATGCACCTGTAGCTGATAAAAATCCAGCACATTTACTGAAAGTGTTTCTGAATTACAGTAGGCAACACTAGAAACTGGTTATGGGTAGGTAACTAGGGACCTCCAGATGCTTTGTCTTCAAATCCCATAACCCCTTACCATTGCCTGTGCTAGCTGAGCCTGATGGGAGTTGTAGTCAGAACCATTGGGAAGGTACCAGGTTGCCTGCCCCCAGGAGGAATACTCTCATTAAAGCACTTCAGCAAAGGCCATTGTCTTTAGAGCACCTGTATCATGATAATCCCGTGTGCAGTGTGGCGTTCCCCCCACTTTTCTGGCCCTGCACATATGTCTTTAACAGGGACTGGTTCACATGTAATAGCACTTGAGAATGTGCTGGCATTTCACGTGAACACTAACTACATCATAGCTTAACTGTGAGTTCTTAAACATTAACACCTCGGAGTTCAAACCATAGATTCTCTTCCTGGGTTGTTTGTGGTTAACTCTTCATAGTTAAACTATTGCACTGAGTTCACATATAATAGCAACCCATACTCTCGGGTGTTAAGTGCAGACCAGGCCAATATCTGTATTTCATCGTTTTCTTGCCCTTCTTTTATGATGGCTCCTGGCCCTTCCAGCTCTACTATTCCATGGTCCATCCCTCCCTTTTATCTTCAAAATAGCCCTAGGTTAGGCTGACGGAAAACTACTGGCCAAAGGTCAGGGGCTATTATTTGGCTATTTTTACAAGGTGTCTTTCCCAGTCAACTAAGCCAGACTGTATTGTTTATGGTCCCTTTACGTTTCTGCTTTTCTCCGTGCTACTGTCTCAGGCAAATGGGAATGGGGCATTCCAGAGTAATTGGGGTAATTGTGCATTTTACATGTGAGATTTTACTCTATTGACATTTTATGTCTTGGTTTTATCTCTAACTTTACCATCATGTCATTGTTGGGTTAATGACCATAGTATTTAATAAACTTAAATCCTACATTGTTTATGGTGTTTGTGAAGTGACTCCAGTAGTTTTGCTTTATGCTGGTCTGTGACTGTGGTTTGGTTTGGCAAATGGGGATGGGGCATTCCAAAGTATTTGGGGTAATTGTGCATTTTACATGTAGACATCAGGGGTGGGCTGTCTAAAGACAGGATGGTGGTGCATCTAAGTGATGCTCTAAACTCCTGCTTTGATTGACTTGTTGCAAGTCGGAGCCCTTGAGATGTGCTGGGCTACAGCTCAGAATATGTGAGCTCAGATTGCATTCAGTCTATTCCATTGGTGTTTCCTCACGGTAGGATGACTTTCATTCTGCCAACCACTCATTGACAGAATCTGCTCTCGCTGGCTTTCTTTCCCTCCCTCCCTCTTTTTCTTTTTCTTTTAAGGATGTTCAAGAATTGTGTTCCTCTTGCACTGAAGTGCATTAACGCAAATACACCATAGCTACAAAGCAAAACATGGGTCAGAGAGTCTATGCAATTGACAAGAGCCAGTCCACTGCAGAATCCACAGGTCAGATTCAAGTGAATCCAACCTTGTGTGAATACATTGCAGATTTCTCTGACCTCCCCTACAGTTCCCATCACCCTGAGCCAACATGATGGGGCTGTATTCCAAGCAATGCGAAGGGTTGTGGGAGGCTGGGGCAGGAAGTTTCTTCCAGTTCTGCAGAGATCTCCCCCCTCTGATGCCTCCACGTCAGTCACCGTGTGGACCCAGCCTCCCTCGTGCTGCCATATAAGTAGTGGCAGTTTTTCTTGGACACTCTGTCCTCACTTTGTCTATCGGTTTGGGGCATTCCAGGTTTTCCACATGACTGGGATGCCACTGCTCCCCTTTTGCTATGGCTGCCTATCCTGGGAGGGGCCCTCCTGTGGGGGCAACTCAGGCAGGAGAAGCTGCCTCAGTGCACCAGGCAGAGGCAACCTTGGCTTGCCCTTGAAGTGCTCTTTGCCGAGTCAGGCTGTGTGGTGTAGTGGTTAGGCGCACGGGATTGGGACTTAAGCAACCCAGTTCTAGTCCCTGCTCAGCCATGGAGCCCACTGAATGACTTTGGGCCAGTCACAGACTCTCAACTCAACCCACCTCGCAGGGTTGTTGTTGTGAGGATAAGACTGAAGGAGGAGAATGGTGTCAGCCGCTTTGAGTTCTTTCAAAAAGAGAACAGTGGCATATAAATCTAATAAATAAATAAACAGCTGGTTCCATATTCTTTGTACCAGCAGTAGGTAACGGGTGCTTACCAAAAGTTTTGAACTACACTCCCCATCGGTTCCAGGCAGCTTGCCCACATGCGCAAGGATGACGGGGGCTGTAGGACAAACAGCCTGGAAGGCTGCCCACCTCTGCTGTACGCTGACAGGCAGCAGCATTTCAGGCAGGAGATCCCAGGCATTTTGTCTGGGCCCTTTTGCAGGAGGAGCGAGCACCCCGAGCAGGAGGAGCAGCCCCGTCCCTCGCTCAGCAGAAACAGATCGGCCTCCTTTGAGGAATCTCAGGCACAAATGGCATCCTGGGGATGATTTCACCCGAAAAACAGGGCCAAAGGGTTACCTCCCTCCACTGGCACTGATTACATGCTCCTGGCTCTATGGGCTTGCCATCTGTCCAAACTGAGCAGGAGCCAATCACATATTCTTGTCATCTCATCAAGCCGTCTTGGAGTGAAGCTGCAGCCAATAGCCCCCCTCGCACACCCGGTCTCCTGTCACAGAATGGCAGAATCTTAAGTGGGAAGGCACCTTCGGGGTCACCCCGTCCAGCCCCTGCTGGGTGGCCCCATCAGTGCCTTTCCATGCATGGGAACAGAAGAGAAGCCCCGCAGGATCAGGCCCACGGTCCAGCTGAGCCAGCCTTCTGCTCACACAGTGGCCAACCAGGTGGTTTCTGGGAAGGCCACAGGTAGGACGTGAACATAATGATGTTCGCCACAAGTCTCTGATTTTAACTGGTGACCACACACAGGCTTCAGCAGAAATAAAATAATGATAGTCCCTTTACAATTGTCATTTTCCCGTTCTGACAGAGATCCTTTGCTTTTAAGAGTAGGGGTAACAGGCAGAAATTTAACATGAGGCATTTTTCTCCCATCTCCATATCTGGTGCTGGGGGAAAGTTTCACCTGTTGAATTTCAGCTGGTTCAACAACTAGTAAAGGAACAAGAAAGGCAGCAGTGCTAGGAACCTTCCCACCAATTTTCTCTCCAGAGTTTTCTGCTCTTTATGCTTTGACATTTAAAAAAGGATAAGAACTAAAGCAGAGATTAAATGGGGACACGCCAAGCGGCTTTCATAGCAAACAAAAGCAACATGCACACACATTTGAATGCTGGCAAATTTAGGTCACTTCTTTAACAAAATATCCTGGTGCTTTCATTTCTAAAAGAAAAGGTGCTGAGCAAATGCTTGACTGGAAATCACACCTTCTGCCTTGAATGCCCTTCTCTCAATGACAAAGCCCAGCTACTTAGAGGCTTGCCACTTTGCACATGCTCAGAGAACTTTTACTATTGCTTGCCATGCTCCCGGACTGAACCCTGGCTTTGACCAAGGCAACTGAGCCTCCCCAACTCCGCTGGCCGCCAGGTCATACCTTCTTCTCCTGGATGCTGACCACGGGCTTCCACCCGCCGCGGCGCCTCCGGGACTTGGGCACAAGGGGCACCTGGGCCGTCTTGGCATTGAGGTGCTGGGTGATCTTGACCTCCACGGCCAGCTTGACGTTGGTCCGGAGGTTCTTCCTTTCAAAGACCGCCTTGCACTGGGGGCAGGACAGCGCCTGGGGGCCCTTCCCCGCGGCCGCCGCCGCCGCCGCCTCCCAGTGGCGGGTGATGCAGGCCCGGCAGTAGCTGTGGTCGCAGTCCAGGATCACCGGGTCCTTGAAGTGACCCCTGCAGGCGGGGCAGATGGCCGCTCTCTGCAGCTCGGCCACCAGCCCTTTGCCCTCCATGGCGCGCGCGGAACAAGCCGCCCCGGCGCGCGGGGCCGCGCTTTATGGGGGGGGCGGGGCCCAGGCCGGGGAGCGGCGCCTCCGCGGCAGGTAAACAAGCCTTGCGTAAGCGGCCCGTCCCGCCACTCTGCGGCTTGGCTTCCTGCGCCGGTGTGGATGCGGCAGGAACAGCCTCCGGGAGAAAGGACGGGTTTCTCGTTTGTTTTGCGCAGACGTTGGGCTCTCTTCGTTCCTACCTGTCAGCGCCACAGGGGAGCAGGAATGGGGCCAAGGCTGCAGCGGAGGTTTTAATCTGCAGCACGAGGGCAGGATCCTGATTGCCATCTCCACCTGCCTCCTTGGGCTTTGCAGCTCTGCCCCAAACTGGAAGTGGATCCAAGGACCTCTGGTAAACAAAGGCATGTGCGGCGTGCAGAGCACGCCCTTGCCTTCCAGAAAATGCAGCTGCTGGTAACATATTCTACAGCTATCTTCGAGTTACTGTATTTTCCGTAGATAATTTTGTCCCCAAACTCTGAGGTTTTTTTATAGAGGACAGCAGCTATGGCAGAATCAATCAATGCCCTGCATTGCAGAATCGATTGCTCTACTATAATCTAAGGACTATTGTAGAATCAGTCGATCTGGTGTGATCCAGAGGCTATTGCAGAATAAAGTAATCCAGGAGGGTGGCTGGAGATGATGGATCACCCACCTGGAAGGTGTCAGGTTGGGGATGGCTGCAGCAGTGTGCAACATGCAGCAGTTGAAGGTCATAAACTGATCACTGGCAGGAGAAAATAAAGGTGTCGCAAGAACATCTCCATTTTCATTTGGTGGAGGCGGTGATGTAGATTAGAACGGGGCAGCAGCTATTTCAGATTAGTGGATCCACAATTCAAAGCTGCCATCTTGTGCAGGTGGTCCTAGACCTCTGGGCAGAACTCTTGCAAATGCGCAGCAAAGGCAAAACTGACCTGCCTAGTCAGGAAAGGAAAGCAGTGGCTGCTGAGGCCACCACCTGCGAGGTTCCTCGTGACCCGACAACACTTTAGAGATATTTGATGGGAATAAGAGAAACAAACCCCACCCAAGGTGCGCCTTGTTACCTGCCTCTTGTCAAGGGCTTGGCATTTCTCCCAGCTTTTTGGCAGGCGCTGTACTGTTTGTTTTGCCAATGGTATGTTCTGAATTCAACAGAATGTCATTTTCTACAGGAAACAAGAGCCCACCCTGTCTGTCCGGCTTTGCTACATATACCCCACCCAACCGACACTCGCTCCTGCACATCTGCCAGCCTTCTGCTCTCCCACCCCCCGAAATCTCCCTCTTCCCATGACCACATGGCCATGCTAGCTGGGAATTTCAGAAGCTGCAGTGCAACACACCTGCGGGGCACCAGGGAAGGGAAGTTGCAGGTTTTGTGTTTCCCAGCATACATTTTAAATCTGCTGAATGTCTGGCCTTTGCAAAGTTGTTACAGGCTTGGATGCCCTTCTTGCAGGGGATAAAACATGTCGGCTGGACAGAATCTGATTCCATGAAATGTACACTGCTCAGAGAACCCTAACAGGGCTATAGGTACAGTCTATAAATTAAACAAACGAACAATCACTCTTTCCCCCCTGTGCCTGAAACCACGCTCTATACAATGCTCACATCTGCATCCTTTGCCGCCCAAACTACCTTTCCCCTGGCCGCCTTTGGCTGAGCTGCTCATCTAACTTCCCCACTAACTGAAGCACTTTATGTAAGACACAGAAACAGAGAAACAGAGCGAGTCAGAAGGGACCTCCTGGGCCGTCTAGTCTGACCCCTGGCTCCAGCCGGCTCTGTTCATGACATGCCCATCATGTGCATGTCTAGCCTATCCTGAACACCCGCACTGATGGGGCCTCAACCGCCCCCCCGTGGAGGCCCATCCACATCCTGGGCACTTCTCTTTCCTCCCCCATCTGTATGGTTCCTGCACTTGCTTCTCCATCCCTTCCACTTCCTCTGTCAACCTTAGCTTGAAAGCTCCTTGCATATGATATCGGCCTGTATCATCATCATCATCAATTATGATGATAATTATTGATGATGATGATGATCAATTATTGATGATGATGATGGTAGAATGCACGATAGTACCAAGACTGTGAAATCTAGATATCTGAGATTCAGTAAACATACTAAGGGGACCCTAGGAGTGGGCCCCATGGGATGACTTTAGCTTTAAACTCATTAATTTTCATGCACATTATTTCCATGTGGTCGAAGCCCGCCGTAATATCTTCAGACACTCACAGCAGACCACCCTGTTCAGAGCGCAGCTTTGCAGTCCTTGCAGTCAGAAGCCATGAGAGCCTAGTGGGGCTGGGAGAGAGATTAAGGCTTCTTCCTCTTCCCAACTGTGAGGCAGCCTACCTGGGGGAGGGGGTGGAAGGGAGTAGACAGTAGTAGACCCCCCCTTCCTGGGGGGGGCTGGGGGTGCCAGCAGGCATGGCCTCGCTCCGACAGGGCACATATGATTCATCCACCTCTGACAGCTCACACCCACAGACTTTCCTCACAATGGTGAGATGTATTCCTGCTTAAAATATGATAATTATCCCTGAATCTGAAATTTTATGCAAATAAACATATTTTTTGGTGATGCATATCATCTTTTTTTCTTTTTGCACAGATTGGAATAGCTGGATCCATTTGCTAGTAAGATCAAGTAATAGTAACAATAGAATATTGTTAGGAATCTTGGGCTTAATTATTTCCATTTGTATTTCATTTAAAAATAAAAGGCAAGAAGAAGTGTGGATTTTGAATCATACGGGACTAGGAGAGCAAGTTTTCATTTCTCTGCTCAGGATGGCAGGATATTTCAGTTCTGCTTTCAAATCTGTCAGGGAAGTAGCAATTTGGACATGGCTGACCTTTCAAGAAGGCTCATGTTTGTGGTCTGTTGTTTCAGTCCTATGTTTCACTTCTGGTTTTTTTTCTTTTTCACTTCTATGCTCCTAGACTAGGGTGGCCACTTGTGAACTGCCAAAGGGAAAAAAGAGGATATGCATCACCAAAAAAAAAAAAAAAAGGGAATGTCTGTTTGCATAAGATTTACCTATTATATTTTAAAGGGGAATACATTTCCCCATTGCCTAGGTGCCAAGTATTAATGGACACTTTTGGAGCCTTTTTGTTCTTTTTCTGACCGTTCTTTAAGGTTCTGTAATGCAGGCTTCATCTGGACAGCCCTCCAAATAGAGGATGTCTTCAAAGTGGAGGGCAACCCTCTGGGCAGCACTCAAAAGCAAACAAGCACCCGTGTACCAAGGGTCTGATTCAGTTTCAGGCAGCTTCTTCTATTGCACTCTGTTCTGGAAAAGGCCTTAGAAAGAATCCTCCTTCGATCTTTCAGCTTATGTACAGAAAAACTTTTTCAGTGGCGGCATCATCCTGTGAAGTGCCCTTCCGAGAACGGCTCACCTGGTGCTTTGTGATGCTCTTCTGCCGCCAGGTGAAGACCTCTTTATTTCCCAGGCCTTTGAGAATGGCTTGCAGTACACGGCATAGAGAATGCAGGTTGCTACAGAAGAGAGAACGTGGAAGCAGATGCCGCTCTGTGGGGCAAAGCTGCCACTGCTTGGCTGGAAGGCCGTAGGACCAGCTCAAGGTGGTTTGCTGCATAAGCCAGAGCAGCAGGCGGCATCCCTTTCCTCCAGACCACGGTGCATCAGTATGCGTGTCCGAGGTGCCGGCGCAAGACCTTTCGTGTGCAATGGAAGAATTCAGGCTTGCTCAGAAAAGTGCTAATTTAGGGCCACCTGTTCTTGAGGGCTCACCACTGCAGGAGTCCCTGGTGTGGCCAGCAAGTCTTGAGAAGAAGGTGTGCTCAACAGCTGGGCTCTTTGGAGTTGTGGGGCCAGACCCAGCCAGAGTAGACCCATTGAGACCAACAGGAATCAAGCTAGTCAAGGCTCGTGTGAGATCTATTGATTTCCATGGGTCTGTTCTAAGTCTAGCCACAACTGGGGATATTGCCCCTACTACCAAAGCACTAATGCAGTTATTGTCCCAGGCAGGGGCAATTCACTGTTCCCCACCCATGGGCACTAGTAGCACCTCTTCCTTTTTCAAACATCGACACCACACTTTTTTGGTTTAAGGACCTTCCCAAAGCAGATTATAGAGATATTAAGACTAAATATCTACCGCCCCTACCCCATCCCCTTTTTGTAAAGCTACTGCCAGGGCAAAAATTAAAATGCCGAGTTACACTGCAACTGCTCTGAGGTTTATGTGAACAGAGCCAGCCTCAAAGTCTGCACTGAAAAACAGTAATACAACAGACCAGAGAGACTGTTCACATAAGTGGAATACTAGTTTACTCGGTATATAAAGAGGACAGACAGACAGTTATTACCATGATAGGATGATAGTGTTTGGAAAGCTTTTTGCCCAGAGTTATTGGCATTATGTTCCCAAAGAGCTCATAAAACAATCAACAGAGAAATGTTTCTTGTTCTCAGCATAACCACACTTCATTTCAAATTGATTCAATCTTAGGTCGAGATGCTATCAGGGCAGGACTTTGAGGCAGAAGTCTGGGGCTCCACGCAGCAGAGTGAGCAGGAGGGCCCCCCAAATGTAGCAGGAACTGCTGTCTACACTGGGGAGGAAGCGAAATGCTACACATGACCTTCTAACAAAGCAGGATAGGGCATAAGGGCAGAGTCCCATATTACTGAACTCCATGATTGAGTCTAGAAAATCTTCCATTCCAGTGGATTAGCAACAATTAAGCACTTTGCTCAAAATGAGTGCATACTGTCATCATTAATTGCTATGTATGGGCCTCCCTATCCCAAAGGTGCAGTTTATCTGTCATCACTCTGAATTTGCATGTGATGAAAGGTAAGAGATTTTAACCTCATTTTTTCCAGATCGTATGTTGGGCACACTTTACATATGGCTATGAGCCCAACTTAAGAGTTACATGCTTTACGTAGATTTAGCTGTGCCAAATATTTGCAGGGCTTGATTTT